GTACGAGCCAGTGTTGAGAGGTCCCAAGAAAGAAGGTCCAAGGACATCCCACCGTCTCAGCAGTTGGGCACGCCGTTCTCAGCAGTTGGGCATGGCTCGGTCCACTTTACAACGGATTATTCGCATTGATTTGCATTTGTTCCCGTACAAAATTCAATTGACGCAAAGAATGTTGACTGCAGACAAGCCTCGTCGTTTGGAATGGGCCCAAAGAGTCATGGGTCCGTCGAATATGGGCAACCCTATTGCTACCTAGAATCCAATAGCTACGAAAATGCCGTTTAACTTGAAAAGATTGCAGTTTCCTGTACGGTTGACATTTGTTATGGACTTCTAAAAATATAAACCCTTTCCTCGTGTTACATGTGAGGAGAAGTTTTAAATACCATAATTGCATAGAAGTTCGCCTAATGCTATAGTATACAAGAGATCTTCTATGTCCAGAAGGCGCCCTATTGGTCTTCCGTGTACATAAGACATTAATAGATTCAAAAGGTACCTTTTAGGAAAGAGGTAATTTCTATCTGTGTTTATATCTTTTGTGAAGTTTTTACTGACAGACGACCTATGAAATAATTTCTACAGATATTTGGCCTCTAAAAATTCTTCTATGGCCATTCGAACCTCAGAAAAAAGGGATAACATAATTTACTTTCGTTGGTATCCGTTCACCGTTGAACATTACACTTTTCATTCATGATTTTTTTTCCTGAAAATTCTTCAAATTTTATTAAATTTTTAAACTATTTTAATTTATTTATTTTATTTTTTTGGTAAATGCTGTCATTGTTAGTGATGGCACATCATTTAAACTCCTTACACTCACTCCCTCATTTTGAGTTTCAAGGTATCTGACCAAGAGTGACCCTTTTGCAAAATTTAACTGCTCTAGCTCTCTCCAAAATTGTAAAAAAAAATCTACACAAAAAGCGATGATATTGTACCAGTTTGTAACATTAAGTGAATTTTGAGTCTGAATAATCAATTTTTGAAAATCCGTGCTAATTATCAATTCTCCTTACCGCTCTATTTTGTATTTTTAGTGCAATTTAAGTCCAAATTTCTGAAAATCCTTCCTTACCCCCCATTGCATTTAAATAAATCTATTTTTATACCTTTCAAAATAGTAGTGGGGGGTATATTAAGTATGTCATTTCGTTTGTAACACCTTGAAAAATACATTTTAGAATCCACAAAATACACATATATAAAAATATTAATTCTTTGTCGATTTAGCGTATTCCGTCCGTATATCTGTCTGCCCGTCTATGGGAACCACTCCAACTTCCGAAAAGAATGAAGCTAAAATTTTACTCAGACGACTTTTAGGTCTGCAGAACTTTCGGAATTGAAAATGGGCTATATAGGTCAACATTATAACTGTATCGACAGATTTAATGTTCCCAGCATGTAAACAAAAAAAAAAAATCCTTGCAGAGAACTGTACATATATGTCCAAGTTTTGTTATAGACCCAGATAACTATACCTCCAGATATTCGAAATTTTGATGAGTTTTGTCACTGTTTTCTACAGGATTATTTAAAATTTGGTATTTGCAGTTCGAAGTGGGTACTGTTTTCTATGACAGAAAATTGCCCATTCAAATCGACATTTTAGTGTAACCCACTTATAAGATGATTTTAGCTACATTATTTAACAAAATTATCTCAAACTTGATATTTCAGGTTCGTAATAGGCACTGCCTTCATTGATAGATAATTGGCTGTACAGATCCACAGTTTCGTATGGGTCCTATATAACTATTCGCTATTTTGACGATTGTTTTTTTGAATTTCGGAATTGTTTCATTTTGGTTTTGGAGTTCGTACTGGGTACTACCTCCTATGACAGAAAATTTTCCACACAAGTCCGCAATGTCGTATAGCTCCCTCTCTATATTCGGTATTTTGGCGATTTTTTCAACAGAATTATCTTAAACTTGGTGTTTCATTTTCGTAAACTGCACAGTCCTCTCTGGCAGATAATTGGTTGTAAAGGTCCAGTTTTTCGTATAGCCAATATAACTGTAACAGCTGATATTCAGAATTTTTAAAATATTAGTGGCATATTTCAACGGATTTTTTACAAATTTGTAAGTTCCGCTCAAATAACATAAATAAAATATGTACTTGAAATGTATGTATCGAGTTAAAAAGTTCAAAATAGTTTCATTTTAAACTGGAAATGCCAGCTAAATCGATTTTAGAATGTAGTTAAAGTCTTCATTACATAGGGACTATACCAAAATGTCAACATCTGATCAAGATTATGTTTACTTGTAGTTATTTCGAGGAGTTACAATCGGAAGTTAATATACCACATTATGGTGAAAAATTGTTGTTCTTCTCGCACGACTTTCGAGGTGATTCTACTTCTGTTGAGAGTCTATCTCGATATATAATAGTAGTGATTTTTTTACAGGCCTGAGGGCCTATTCTGCAATATTTTTTAACGACATTCGATAATGTTATTTTACCCTCCACCATAGTATGGAGGGTATATTAAGTTTGTTATTCCGTTTGTAACACTTCGAAATATTCAATTTAGACCCCACAAAGTATATACATTCTTGATCAGCATTAAATTCTATGTCGTTGTCCGTTTGTGGAAATAACTCTAGCTTCCGAACGAAATGAAGTGGGTTGATAAAATTTTACTGAAATGTATATTATGTCTGCAGAACTTTTGGTATTGAAAATGGGCTATGTAGCGTTGGTATAGCGCCCATACAATTGTACCTACCTATTTTCGGTACCTATGATGATTTAAGCTACATTTTTCACTGAAATCTTTTCAAATTTGGTATTTGAAATTCGTAATGGATACTACTGCCTATGACAGAAAATTGTCTGAGCAGGTCCACGCCTTCGTATAGCTTCCATATTTTTTCTTTTGAAATTTTCATAGCATAACCACCTTAACATGTTTCGTAGACCTTCCACATGCCATTTGCCCAAGCCTATTTCATTATTTATACCCTACAACACTATGTGTTGGGGGTATTATAAGTTTGATTGGGCCAGAATTTATGTAACACCTCGAAATATTGGTTTCCCATATAGGAAAGTATATATGGATCTTCCTAGCTCGCCGAGCTGAGTCGATCTAGCTATGTATGTCCGTCCGTCCGTCTGTCCGTCTGTCCATGTTAATTTGTAATCACTCTACAGGTCACAATTATGGCCCGATCTTCACGAAATTTTGTACGAAGGTGGGGTTAGGGTCAGAATAGAACCCTATTTCTTTTGGAGATGATCGCCAAATGTTTACGGGTTGAAATGGACCAAATATTGAAAAAATTTCGGATTTTGCAGTAGCTATACAGGTCGCAATTATAGACCAATCGACGCGGAATTTCGCATGTAGCTAGAGTTTAGGGCGGGGAAGAAGCCTACCAATTTGCGTGGTCATCGGATTATATTTAGCGGGTAAAATAGACCATATCTTTTGTATTCGAAATTTTTCATTAAACCGCGAATATTTTAAATCCCGACGAAATCACAAAGCCATGACAGGGTTACTTCAGATCTTTACATTGATGTTAACATCCAACAAATCGGATATATAGCAAAATATGTGCGACATATTTGTCTATCAAAGAAGATATGCTTGAAAGATCTCTTATATGTCGAGAACGGCTGAACTGATTTCGACAGTTCTCATTAATTCAGAATGGCCTCTTGACAGGAAAGAAAAAATGTCTAAAAAAAATCGCATAAAAATATCTCTCTAAATATGAAAATATTGATTTTGTAAAATTTTCTCATATTTTTTCAATTTTGTCATATTTTTGGCATATTTTCATTTTGAATTAAATATTTGGTAATATTTCTACAGCTAACAAAACTAAGTAGTTAGGATATGAGGACATCATATACAGATCGCATTTATGGCCCGATCCTTACGAAATTTTGCATGGGGATAAGATGAGGATCAGAATAGAAGCCTACTCTTTTTGGAGATGATCGTCATATATTTAGGGGTTGAAATGGACCAAAAAACTGCAAAATTGTCAGCAGGTCGTAATTATCGCCCGATCCTCACGCACATTTGAATGGGGGTTACCGGACATTGCAAAAGCCAAGCAGTTTTGGATGGCCAATCAAAAATATTCAATGTGTGAAATAGTTTGCCAACTTTTGTAGACTAAATACGAAAATGTCCATTCCAGTGACTTTTTGGAGAATTCACAAATACAGGAAAGACGCACTTCTGACTATTTCGTTAACGCTGATTTCGTTGAAGAATAGAGTCAAATGTATGTATCTCATATAGATGCGTTTCAGTCAAAAACCAATAATAAATGTAAATCTTTTGCCACTTCTGAGAGATTATAGGTCTTTAGGAAATATTGGTTCTAGGAAGACCATTTACGTGCAACATCTACCAATAAATTGGAAATAAGCAAATTAGTTTATTGCTATTATTCGAAAATTAGAGAACGAAACCTGATGGTTTTCTTTTATAATTTGTCACAATATCTTGTGGAATTCTTTCGAGTATTTCGCCTATATAAACTGTATCATTTATTATAGTGTTGTAGGGTATTCAACGGTCGGCCCGCTCGACTGTAGCCTTTGCTTACTTGTTTTCATTATGACTTTTTAAGAAATTCAAATCTAATACATATATTGTTTTCTTTTTTCAGGTAAGTGACAAGAAATACCATCTACAACTTATTTTCCGGTAAGAAATGTGACCTACCAACTATACAGCATACTGTCCATACCATGACATTGAGTAGTGAACAGAAAAAAAAAAAACTAAAATATATTACGAAATCATACCCTATTGTTCCTTTAAAGATTAGAGGTAAATATGTGCATGTGAAGCAAATTGAGGTTCACACATGAATTTCTATTTTATGAATTTTTTAAGAGATAGAGAGAGGGATAGTGTGAAGAGAGAGATAGAAAATTTTAGATTTTATTAATTTTTATATTACATTTATTTCAAAAAAAATATTATTACATTCAAATTAATATACATCTAAAATAAAAAACTAATAATTTACAAATATATACAAAATGAAAACCTTTAAGGTCTTCAAAAAACCCTCTATCAATTCATTGCTTCCGCCTGATAACTGCTAGGCGCTGATGATATCTCCTCCCTTGGTTCTTGTTGCTTCTGCTGCGCACTGATCGCACTTGGAGCCACTGTAACATTCTGCTTTTGTCGCATTCTTAACATTTGCAAATATTGATGATGCCTCTGTCGAGCTATGTGACGATGAAGATTATTTTTAAAAACCGTTTCACGGCTAAGCGATTGCAGATCTTCCGCCGAACATTTGTCAATATTTTGAATGGTATTTGTAATGAGTTCGTGGGTTAACATTAACTTCGTTTGTGATACTCGCATCATGGACATGCGACGTTGTCTCAGCTCTTCGCAATGTAAATAGAGAATATAGCTTAAGTTGGATTGTTGTTTACGAGGTGATGTTGGTTTTTTGATTTTGCCAGAAAACGATGGGCTAGAGATGTTGGCATTTGTTATTTTAGGAGCCATTTGATAATATATATGTTTTCAAATATTTTTAGATTGTATTATTGTTGTATTATTTAGTTTGTTTTGCATTGACTTTGCTGTTACACTGTTGAGGGAACACTGATGTCCTGTCTGTGCAATCCCCTGGGTTATATGTATTTAAAAAACAGGTATATTATCACATCGTCAAGCCCACTAATTCATTGTGTTTTGTTTAAGTGGTTGATTTAGTTTAGTAGCGTATGAGTTCAGGTACATTTTTTAATTAATGGTTGTGCGCATCACCATTCTGCATGAATGTCCTTGCAAAATGGTGATACATGTGTGTGTTGGTTTTATTCCAAGGGAATTTGAACAAAAAATAAGGACACAGTGTCTGCTGTGACACAATCCACCCGTTCATAAAAAAAATTGTAAAAATTCTGTTTGATAGGTTACTCCACAGCTGTGGAAACCTCTTTGTAGAATATCCCTGATAACTATAACAACAAAACTAATTGTATAATATTTGAAAATACAAATAATTCATTTCAAAAGAATATTGGAACTACAAGTCTTGTGCAAATAAAGCCTCGAAGGACATAATTGTTTATGTATCAATATTTTTACTAGGAATCGTTTGAAAAATGTGGTTAAAGCCTTCGAAACTTAAGGGAATCCAATTTTTGATTTTTTTTTAGAAAAAAAAAAGGTTTATATCAATCCAGAGTTTTAATATGTCGGATTTTTATAAATGATCTTAGGAAGGATGTACGTGTTTATCTGTGAAAACGATTGAAAACCGAAGTGGGTGTAGCAATACACTAGGCTAGGTAGTACAATGAACACAAATAGGATAAATGTCGGAACATACCACCGAATTCAACTTAAAAGCACATATCGCAAAAAAAATGGTGTATAGCTCCCATATCATCCGAATCGTGCTCCTTTACAAAGGTACAAAATATCAAATATGATCTAGAAATCACTTTGTCTAATTTTGTGAAATCAGTACAATCTATGTATATAAAAGAGACGAAGAAACGGCCAGACGAAACTACTGAAGGTAGAATCTTGAAATTTTGCAGGGTCTTCCTGCGTAGGCGTGTGATAAGGCTCGGTTTTTGAAAATTCTTCCTGAAAGGATACGACAAGTACTAAAATGTTTTAAAAACTTAATACTTTGTATTGGACAAACGGAATGAGCTATAATTCTAAAATTGGGAATGAGAGTCACAATTGGAGTGCAGGATATATGTACCTACTTTAGGGATAAAATGGTACTAAACTTATAAAATGGTATCCTTATGTGAACAGATAGAGCTAAAAAAGGATAGTCCCACAATTGTACGAAAAGTGCTGAATGGTGCTATATTTGGTATTGGGTGAAATGGTAGAGATAATATTCTGAATCTGTGTTTGAGATTTGGTGACAGTTTGGAAATGCCTCCTATAATTGTACGAAAAGTACTAAATGGTACCAAAATCGCTATTGGATGAACGGAAAGGTATCTGCTAATAAAGATATGGAGGTGGTTTGGAAATGTATATTATAATTGTACGATATTTTATGAGGATGTCATTGTTCGTATCTGTAGTTAAGAGATGGAGGCAGGAGGAGGCAGGCACAAAATGGGCCATTGATTATTACAATAGCAATGGAATTCTGGAATTCGATATCGAGGTCACTGTTGGTGTCTAGGATGGTGAGAAAAAAGTTGTTTTGGAAATGCTAATTGTAACTGTGCGAAAAGTATGCTAACAAATTTAGGATAGAGCTGGAATTGATATGGAGGCCGTACCAATTGATAGTTTTTAGAAAAGGAGGTAGATTTCGGAATCCGTACTATGATTGTTCGAAAAGTACCAAATGGTACTAAACTTGCCGTTGAGTGAATGGATATAACTTGTACCCTGGGGGCGATATATACAGGTTTGCCCATATTCGACGGACCCATCTGGCAACGCCATAACTTTTGACAGAGATGTCACATCGCTTAATGACATACCGCGTTCGAAGCGTCAGTCCAAGCAGATTTTTACCATGAACCAATACACGCCACGCGAGCGCTCTGAAATTTACATTCAACAGAAGAAGTCAATTGTGAAAACTCGACGTGCTTTTAAAAATGTGAGAAGTGCGCCTTGTAAGAACACCATTAAGCGTGTATACGGAAAATTTTCGACTGGTAAGGCTCTTTCTAATCCGAAGAGGCCATATAAAAGTCGACCAAGGCGATCGGCCGAGAATATCGCTGCCGTACGAGCCAGTGTTGAGAGGTCCCCAAAAACATCCCAAAAACGCCGTTCTCAGCAGTTGGGCATGACTCGGTCCACTTTACAACGGATTATTCGCAATGATTTGCATTTGTTCCCGTACAAAATTCAATTGACGCAAAGAATGTTGCCTGCGGACAAGCCTCGTCGATTGGAATGGGCCCAAAGGTCCGTCGAACATGGGCAACCCTGTACCATATTTATACCAGATTTTGTGCAAATTTTAAGAGCATCGAATTTTATGAGAATCATAATTATTCAAAATTTCGAACCGTTGTGGGGTTGAGGTATCAGAAGAAGGAGTTCGACATATTCCATTCAAAAAGTTAACCCTTTTGTGGGGAAGGCACCTGATGGAGTGGCTGCGTATTCTTTCTTCTATACTTTAAATTAGCTTCTGTATAAAATTGACCTTTTGTGGGGGAGGTACCAGATGGAGTGAACCGATGTGGCCCATCTCCGAACTCGATCTAGGCTTGACAAAAATGTTAGGCTGCGCAAAGTTTGGAACAAATAGCGTACTCCCTTCGAGAGCTATCGTGCGCAGCAACCAGACAGATAGTAGCGAGGACGGACGGATCTCGATCGTCCTGAAACGGATTTGGTCCTTTATTTCTATGAGGCACATTTTGGCCTTATCAAATGATACATACCCTATACATACCCTATATTGAGATCGAAAATTAAAAAAATTCCACTTCAAGTTTCCAGAGGAAATGCCATCTCTAAAGTTGCTTTGGAAGTGTTGTGTATTTTCCATTTCGCATCCACTATCATCTCTTCATTTGTAGATTTGTCATTTTGTAATGGACATAGGTTTAAATCAGACTTACTTAAGGAAAGTGGTTATTTTTCAGTATTAAAATATTTTAAACCAATATTAATTCTAGAATTTAACTTCAACATTTCAACATTTTTTTACAAAAAATATGTAAAACAGATCGTTTTAAAATTTTAGCTCCCTCAGTTTCATTGTTTTCTAGAAATTGACTTTTAAAACCGGCATAAGAAGTCATAAAAACTGACCCAAATACACATTTTATTGCCATTGAAACATTACACATTTTTTAGCATAAGCAAAAAATGCCAGGAAACATTTTTTTACCTTACCCTTCGGCAGCTGTGAAGCATCTTAAAAAAGTCGGAATTTTTTGCTGTGGCCACTTGAATTTTGTTATTGCAAAATATTCATGAAAGGGTTTACGAAAGGGATTAAAAAAGAATCATTGTGTGTGTGTGTGCGTATGTATGTTTTGGCCATGTAACAACAATACTTATGTAATATTATGCAAGAACAAAAATACGCAACCTTAACCCGATCATTGATCACAAAAGGCATACCTGAGCCAATTAGACATCATACTAGGGCAAGTGATTGAAATCCAGCGAAAAGGGGTGAGGTGGTGTGAAATCAATGACATACCTGTTTTTTAAACATATAAGCCAAGGAATTGCACAGACAGGACATCAGTATTCCCACAGCAGTGTCACAACAAAGTCAATTCAAAGCCATTAACAAATACCATTAATTTAACGAAAAAACAAATAAATACTCAAAAATGGCACCTAAAATGACCGATAATACCATTGCCAACACATCGTCTTCCAGCAAAATAAAGAAGACCATTCTTAAGAAACCGCTATCACCTCAAAATCATCGACAGCAACAACCCTCGCACTTAAGCTATATTCTATATTTACACTGTGAAGAACTGAGAAGACGTCGTGCGTCCACGATGCGAGTATCGCAAACCAAGCTAATGTTAACCCACGAACTCATTACGAACACCATTCAAAATATTGACAAATGTTCGGCCGATGATCTACAATCGCTTAGCCGTGAAACGGTTTTCAAAAATAATCTTCAACGTCACATTGCCCGCCAGCGGCATCATCAATATTTGCAAATGTTGAGAATGCGTCAAGGGAAGACAGCTACAGTGAATCAAAGTGCGAACAGTCTACAGCAAAAGCAACAACAATCAATGGAGGAAAGGTCAATGGTTGTTAATAGCAATTCGGCGGAGACAAGAAATTGTTAGAGAGTTTTTCAAAGACCTTGAGGGTTTTTAGTTTGTATATATTTGTAATTAAATATTTTAGTGTACATTTAAGATATTCAATTGTAATTTGTAGCTAGCAAATTGTTTAGAAATAAATTTACAAAATATAACAATAACATCTATTCTTTTTTTACATTATCCGTTTATCGTGCCACCGTTCTTTTTCAGATCTCATCGCAAAGTCATTTTTTCCCCGAAAATTCATTATCTATAATAAATAGAAACCAGTAAAAAAGTCCTAAAGTCTGGCGGGGCCGACTTTATGATACCCTACACCACTTTGCTTATTTAATAGAGCTCCACATAACAATAACACGCTATGATTATAATTATAATTTAAAGTTCAAAAGACTAAATATGCCGAAGCATTTGTATCTTTTAAATTCGGACTTGTATTGCCCATTTGGTGCAACATTAATTTGAAATCAGATAAAGATATATATGGGAGCTATATCCATATCTGAACAGATCTCGATAAAATTTGGGAAATATATTTCTGAGCTGTATTTGATAAATTTCCCTGAATATCGTTGTTACGGAGTGCATATTACGGCTGTGGGTAACAAATACAACAGATGGGATGAACAATATATATGGGAGCTATAGCTATAACTAAACCGATTTTCACCAAATTTGGAATAATAGCTTCTAGACTCAATTAGGTCGTATGTGCTGAATTCTATCCAATTTGGGCAAATATTAGACGTT